TTTAGCAGGTACAGTATAGGAAGCATGTTTATTGTCGAAACAGATTGGTAAATGAGTCCCGACATGGAAGCAAACAGTTCAGGTAAGCATGTTAATGTGAGCTAATGTTTACCTCCTCAGAGATCATTGTGTTATTTACCTTTAGCTTTGATCATCACGAGTCAACAGTGCGCTAAAACTCCTCATTAAATAATGTTGTGTACATTTAAAAGTCGCTTTTTGTTTTGCTCCATCAGCTGTTTGGTTAGTCTTACATTACAACAAAAAAGAAAATCTTCTTTCTTTTCAAATGTAGCTGATGCGATTTATATATAGGTGCGCTGTATTTTAGATTACTTGATACTAAAGCAGGGGTCTTCAACCTATAGCTCACCACACCCTTCCAAGGTTCTCCAGAAAGGATTTAGAAATTTCCATAAATCCAAGTTTTTATGCATGTTTTCCATGCAGATATTGAAGTTTATGCAGCAATAAATGGATATTAGATTTGTTACAGCAACATACTGTATATAAAAATCAATCCAAGGCACATGTCACCATTACACAGTTTCGACTCAATTTCTTTTGAACCGCGTTAAAGAGTAGCTCTGCAATGTTTGTCCTGAATAAGTAGCTCTCTTTTGACAGTAGGTTTGGCTTTAAATTGATGGAGGGTCCCAACTCTGTTCCAGCTGATATCCACTGTTCTATAACATGGGTGATTGTTGTAAAGTTTGCAACGACACAGTACAATATCTGAGGCAGCAAGGTGGAGCAGCGGTTAGAGGTTGTGTTTCACAGCAAGCAGGTCCTAGGTTTGATTCCAACTTCAAGCCTTTCTGTGTGTAGTTTGCATGTTCTCCCCATGCAGGTTTCCTCCAGGTGCTCCGGTTTCCCCTACCACTAAAAACATGTACAATGGGTATGAATGTAAAGGAGAGAGTAAATGGATGGTGTTGGTTGGGGGCTTTCATGCACCAGTGTGTTCGACGTCTCGTGTGAAGAGAATGGAAACACATCTGAACTTTGAACATTGAAAAGCACTTTGGGCGACCTTGGTAAACAAATGCGCTATATGAATAAATATTTAAGGCGACAGTAGCTCATTTGAGAGAGCATTGGGCTTTGAGCCAGAAGGTCGTGGGTTCGAGCCCACCATAAGACTTTCTCCATCGACTCCCGGCTGCAAAGTGCAAAACTGTCGTTGTGTCCTTAGGCAAGACACTTCACCCCCATTGCCTCGAATGAATCTGGTGTGTGTGTGTGTGAATGGTTGGTGATGGTTGGAGGGGCCGATGGCACATACTGGTTGCCTCGTCTCTGTCAGTGTGCCCCAGGGCAGCTGTGGCTACAGTAGTAGTTTATCGCCACCGTGTATAGAGTGAATGAATAATGACATGCGAAGCGTCTTTGAGTGTCCAAAAAAACACTATATAAAACCGATGCACAATTACTCACTCACTTACTAGAAAATGGGTAATTGTTGCAAAGTTTGCGACAACACAAGAACCACACATCTCATTCGATACATGTGGACACCGAGTAAAGGAATACGTCTGGCCTTGTTTGCCCCAAAGGTAAAGCAGTAGCAACAGAGCACTGCTATTGTGTTAGCTGTTTTGGATTATTATACAGACTGCGGGTTAGTTTTCCAGGCACATACCAGCATCGGTTTATGAGCTGAATAGAGATAAAGCAGAGCTGCTGTCTCCCACATACTGATGAGGCAGTGGCACAAAAGAAGTGCTCCCTCAATGAATGACTAGCGTTATCCTGAGCAGTGTATTAGCAGCACAACATGGCCTTAGGTTTAAATAGGTGTGGGCTTATACTGTATGTTGCCAGCTGTACTTTGACAAGACTGGGGCTGGCCATATTGTGTTTTGGTTCAGGCCTAAACACAAACGACGGCGACCTGCTGCTCTCATCTGGCATCACACCTGTTCTTCCTTCAGGGATAATCATTCATTGAACAGAAACGAGGAAAATGTAAAATGTTGGCTATTAATTCAAAGGCTTGATGGATTTTCTTGTTAACTTTTGCATAAAATATTCATGTGAGTTTTAGTGCACTTTCCACTGTTAAGACATTTTTATTTAAATTAAGGTAAAAGAGTCAGACTGTGAATGCAAAAAGCTAAAACTGATAAATGTGGATCCATGTTCAGATTATCTCATCTAAGTAATATCTATTTATTTAGCAACTTTTCACAGACACAAAACACTTTTCATTTTTGTGTCTGTGAATTTCTTTCACTCCACGCTTGGTGATGGTAGCGGGGTCACATGCCGGATCTATTGTACATGGATTTAGTGGTAGGGAAAACCAGACCGCCTGGAGATATCCTATACAGACACGGGGAGAACATGCAGAATGCACACAGAATGACCCCCTTCTGGAGGTGGAATCGAACCCAGGACCTTATTGCAGTGAAAGCAAGTGCTAACCACTGTGCCACTTTGCCAAGGTATTTATCTTTTATTATTGATAATATAATTTATTGAGGGCAAAAATAAGTTTAGGTCGGATCCATAAAGTGCAGCTTTGAGATGCCACACTTTTTTGTCGACTAACCAGTGCTAATCTGGCCTTTAGTCGACAAAGAATCTCATTGGATGATTAGAGTCCTGTCTCTCCTTGTTAATTATCACACAAACTGACTACAGACTACAGAGGGAAACTGATTGTTCAGCTATAATCTGATGCACAACATATCTGTGTTTCATGAGCTTAACAAATCTGTGCATGTGCCTTAAAAAAACACTAAGCTAAACTAAAATAGGAGGAGTACTGCAGGCTCTAGAGAGAGCCTTGTCCCTTTGAATCAGTGGAAGTGGGTCAAAGTCGAGGAGAGCACTTACAATTAGGACAACAACGATATTCAGACATTGTTTAATGAACCCGTCGTCTGCTCTTTCTATTTGTAAGACTATCCATTTTCGGGCAGACAATAATTAAGAAGCTATTTGAAGCGCTCCTAAATGAGAATGTTACAAATGACCAGTGTTTACTGCTATGCCATTGTAATTCAGATGTAATTTCAAATGTGTGTGTGTTTGTATTGTGTAACTGTATCTTGTTTGTTTTTCTCTGCTGTATGAGAAATATAAGTTTGAAATAACCACTTACTTACTTTACTTACTAGATGTAATCTTAAAATCAGCAAAAAGAGAAAACACAGACTTTGCATTTTCAAAACCAAAGCTTGTGAAATGATGTAGTCTAAAAACCCAACAAGAGTCAGATATGTGATAGAATCAGAGCAGGCTCTTGTTCCTCTGTCGTCTGCCCCTCACTCTCCCTTCCTCAGTCCTGTCTGGAGCGATCAGCATTACTCACGACTATGAGCCGATTAAAGCTTTCACCTCCAGCACGCACCCTGCAGCCTGGTCACTACCTGTTCGGAAACACTTCATCCAATGGAGCTGCAATGACAGAGGCTAACATAACTGCTAGCTACTATCCAAATTGCAGTGCTTTCAGCTGCAGAAAACACCATTAAAATGGGAAATACGGCAAAACTTATAGTATAGTAGTAGAATTAGGATTAGTAATAGTATTAGTACTTTTATTAGTATTGTATTTCTACTGTAGTAATAGCATTACTACACTCGTCACCAGATAGCTGATCGGCCTCAAACAAGTTATCAATCTTTAATGATACATATTTTTAATCGCTATGGGTTTTTATTTTGTAATTGTATTTTATTTATTATTATTAAAACAGGTAAAAAAATACAAATCAAGTTCAACATATACATATAGCAAGAAAAAAAAAAGTACCAGGGCTTACATCAAGGTTTTTGCTGTCTCTAAATGAGAGAAGTTTAATTGCCTTCCAAGTATTAATGAGATTACACTCTATAGGGTTTTTATTTGAGAAATTGTACTTCCTGAACCAAGAAAGCTCCGCCCACGTGGCAGCTCCATAGCACTATGTGGTAGTAGCAACTTGTGATGCTGAAAATGCCTCTACTTTATGCTTCAACACTCCACCCACTCACACTTCATATTTTGTGTGTGATTCAAATAGAAAAACAAGTAGGTCTACTTTTAGTAATAGATTCATAACGAGTAACAGTGCTATATTAGAACAATTGAGATATCCAGAGCCGGGAAATGCCACAGGTCATTTTTAATAGATTCATCAATAAGTTGCGTTTGTGTGACATCACAACATTCCAAAGAGCCTATAGTTTAAAATTGTGGAGAAGGGCAGCTAAAAATTCTATCCTGGTAACTATCAAAGCTATAGTCTTGATTTGAAGCTAATTGTAATTCCTGGGACAATCCACAAGAAAAGAAAATCAACTATGGTCTAATTATTTTCTCACAAGGAGTCAAGAAGTGTAAACCATCGGCCAATAGGAAGGACTCCCAGACATATGAGTAATTCAAAAAATGCTTCTTTCCCATAGGATTGTATTGGTATTTGAACACAACAAATATAGGTATAAATATATATACAGTACATATATAGGTATAAATATATATATATATATACATATATATTTAACCCTAACCCTATATATATACATATATATATATATACACACTGTAAATTTAGTACATTGTCAGGACCCCATCTGTTCAGAGCGTGTGTGAGTAGCTGCATGTTGCTGTTAAGTGGATTGAATCAAATCTAGATAAATGGATTTAAAGAGAGAGAAAATGTGAAGATAAAAGGATACAGCTGCAGTAGAGCAACAAGAAGAGCCTTTTGTGATATTACTTCAATATCTTTGCTTGAAATGATAAGCGATGCATTAATTAAAGATGCAACTACTGCTCCACCGCTGACGATCTTATGGCATATAGCTAGCAGCTGCAGCGTCTGTAATATATGGGTCAATGTGTCTCATCTGACCACCACAAAGACACAAACTGTGGGTGGAGAAGGCCAGTGGCAGCACAATCAGCAGCACAATCAACAGCACAAGGCTAAAACAATGCCAATCGATGCCGACAGACAACAGCCATAGTAATAACAAGACCTAGATGCGTGTGTGTTCAAACCTACCTATGGTTTTGATAACAGTCTTGAGTCTTTCCAGCAGCTCCCCTAAAGCCATGTCCTGCGTCTTCATCCACAGGATCATCCTCCAGAGGGACAGCGGCAGTCCAGCTGTCCAGGCCACGCACGCTTTCCCGGGGAGAAGAGACAGCTTGCCTGCTTGTTCCTCGAATGCCTAGATGGAGACCAGACGAGACAGAGATCTGTGCAACAAGGTGCAGCAGGATTGTGGCTAAAGGAATCTTGCATCAGAGGGGGCGTAAGAGGCAGTCTGATATGTGTGTGCTCAGAGATGTTGGTGCAAACGCAGGCTTACTGGGTGGATGCGAAGACGTGGAGAGATGGAGCCGACGCAGGCGAGGAGGAAGTGGAGCAGGAAGCGGGTTTATTCACACATACATGCCCCCTTCTCTGCTGCTGCTGCTGCTTCTGCTGCTGCTGCTGATGATGATGCTGCAGTGATGGCTCACAGAGAGGGAGGGAAGATGAAGGTCAGCGCTGCAGTTCTGGCTCCGATAACGAAAAGCTCTAGTGACACCCAGCGGACGAAAAGGGTATAAAGTATAGAGAAAAATAACTGTACAGTTTAAATCTCTACGGCAGAAATATAAACTTGATCAAACATCAGCCTATTTTCTGTTAGAACAAATAAACATACATAAGTGGAATAAATTTTACTCAAATACTTGTGAAAGCAGTGCAATTATCCAAAAAGATCAGTTGAAATTAATGTAATGTAAATTGTAGTAGAACCTCCTGGTGTTTTGTAATCTTGCAAAAAAGAGGATTCTATTGAACATTCTATGCAAGTTCTTTGACACTAAAAGCATAGACTTTAATTCAGTTTCCACATCAAAAATACAGTGAACCTCGTGATGGTGGTTGGACTCAAAGCGTATTCTAATGCAAAACATGACTTTAATGATAAAGACTTATGACTGTACCCTCTCCCCGGTTCTCAGCAGCTGTGTCCAGTCCTCGCCTCTTCTGTCCAGGACATGTTCTCCTTCTGCTTCCACACGGACACAGAGGGCAGGGCGGGAGAGACGCGGATACTGCCTTTGTGTCCAGCCCTTAGACGTCCAGACTCACAGATCACGCTCTCCTGTTCCTTCTTCCGGTAACTTGCTAATATTTACAGTCTATGAGCACGTGCAGTCGTGCACGCGCTTCGAGTACTACACACGCGGGTCAGCTGACCCTCCACAGAGCCACTGCATCAGAGCCTTCCCGGGTAACAAGGCCATGATGCAGACAGAGGCAACACGTGTTATTGTAAGTGTAGTACATTTTCAAACGTTCTCTACACATTTATTACTTTTTTTATAGGGACAGTCTGCAATATTTCAATCAACAAATGGACTCCACATTTGCATGATCTCAGTAGAGGAGCAGAGAGCGGGCCAGGTTTAGAGGTGATTCTACGTCATGGTGCTACGTCCCTTAGGACTACGCTAGTGGGATATCACTCGTGACCCCCAGGTCACACGCCAGAGAGATCAAAATAATTTGCTCCAATCACCAGCCACCCTCCTCTATAAATGCCCCTGCACAAGGCCGCACCCCCTCTTTCACTCTGGCGCCGTTCGAGATCTACCACAGTACTTACTTCATTCTGAGATGTCTTCCTTGTTCGTCCGAGTTCCCTTCGCCCTCCGGCGTCGGACGTTGTCACTGGATCCAGACGGTGGAGGACTTCACCTCTGTGGGTGCCACCACTCGAGGAAGGAGGAGGATGCAACCCGTGCCCGCGGATGGACCCGTTCGTCCATTACGCGACACGTGAGTGGCCTAAGCCCCTAGCAGCCAAGAGGCCTGCTCTGGGGTACGACATATACTGCAGCGGGCAGGACTGGTCCTGGACCGGTGATCGAGGATTCAGTCCGCATGGCCCTGCAGCCCTCCGCATCCGTGTGGCCGGCACCAGACCTCTCCTTCCCTCCGAGCGAGACAGGATGTCTTGGCGATGCCGGATAGATGTTATGCCATTGCAGCACAGGTCCTCGCATTGACTAACTACATGGCATTCATCACGGGGGCCCTGGATATGTTGCTCTCTTCTGACCAGGCGCTCAGTGGAGACCTCCTGTCACAGGCGAGGACCACCTCGGCGGCGACTCTGCGCATGTGCCAGACGCTAGCTGTGGATGGTGGCCGCTCCATGGCAGCAGCCCAAGTCGGGCCAGGCACCTTTGGCTTGGGCTGGCTAATATCAGGGAGGCGGAGAGGAGGCAGCTGCTGGACCTGCCCACCTCTCAGATGTCCCTCTTCGGCCCGGACATGCAGGCCTGGGTGGCGAGACTGGAGTCTGCAGCTAAAGACTCGGCTGGGCTAGCCCCGCACCTAGCACCGAGGCGCGAGGCCCACCAGCCATTACGGAGCCGGGACAGAGGCAGAGAGCGTTGGCCCGGGAGGCATCCTGACCCGTATCCGCGCTCTGTTATCCATCGTCCCCCCTTGACGAGGCCCCCGGGTCCAGACAGACCCATGGGTGGCTCGCGGGAGCAACGCACCCACCACCGACCTCCCTATGGTAGAGGAGGCCGGGGTGGAAAATTTTTTCCTTCAATAAAGGCCGACCGGCATTTCCATTACTTTTCTGAGTCTGATTTGGGGGTATGTAACATGTCAAATATTGTGAATTCTGATTGTGTTACTTCCCGGGCACATAACGTTGCTTCGCTAGGCCTGCAGCCCCAGAGAGGGGCGTGCAGTGCACTACGCGAACTACGAGCTCCGGTTTCTCTGATCTATACTATGCCCTCCCAGAGAGAGGTCAGGCGGAGGGATCTAGTGAGTGATATGTGTGTGCTTCGGCCGAACGCTTGTTAGCATCTCTGAGCTACAGGGCTAACACGGGGTTTCCCACTCCAGGGGCTCGCCCCCCCCTCCATGAGGCAAGAGCCAGGGGGGGGCACAGCAGCCGAGTCACGTGGGATGAGCAGTCCCGTACTTATGACGTCGGGCCTGCAGGACACGTGACCGCCCCCGGCGCTCACGGTGTGACGCAGGGTGCCCCCCCCCCGGCCCTTTCGTCCACCCCCCCTCCCTGCTAGGAACACCAGGAGAGGGCGGGGCCGTGACGTCTCGTGTTCCAGCTCCCGTTCCGCTCCTCACAGACTTCTACAGCATCTGGAGGGAGCAAAGATGGCTGACATATCTATGGCTGGAGAGAACATTGCGCAGGGGTTGCGCACTGCAATTCTCCCAGAAGCCACCACCATTCCGAGGCATACGGGCAGTACGCTCTCAGGTACGGGGTCATTAGAGGCGCTGCAAGCGGAGGTCTCCTCTCTGCTGAGTCTAGGCGCAGCAGTAGAGGTAGACCCGCAGGAGGCCACCAGGGGGCTGTACTCCCCTTACTTCTTAGTGCCAAAGAAGTCAGGCGGGGTGCGTCCCATTCTGGATCTGCGCGTGTTGAACGAGTGCATTTCCAAACGGCAGTTTCGGATGCTGCCCACAAAGCAGCTCCTTGAGTGTGTCAGGCAGGGAGATTGGATATCCTCCATAGACCTGACAGATGCGTACTTCCACGTGCCGATAGTGCCGGAACACAGGAGGTTCTGCGCTTCGCAGTGGGAGAGAGGAATTACGAGTACTGTCGTTTTCCCCTTGGGCTACGCACTCGCGCCGTGGAGCAGGGGTAAGAATTTAATCTACATAGACGTCGGGTTAATTCTGGCCTCATCCAGGGAAGTGGCCGTGAGTCATACGCACTGGGTCCTGTCCCACATACAGCGCCTGGGCTTGTGGTTAACAGGGAGAAAATTAACAGTTACCTTTGTAACTTAAGTTCTACGAATAGGTGCACGTGATATCCCACTAGCGAAGTCCGCTAGGGGACGTAGCACCATGACGTAGAAGCAGGCTGCAACCGGCTCAGCGCATGATCTATCTCGGTCTGCAGCTAGACTCTGTGACATTCCGTGCTGAATGGTCCGTGGACAGACGGATGAACACTACCCGTCTGCCCGGGGAGGTTCTGGCGGGCCCCAGAGTCCCCGCTCGGCGCCTCAGGTCCCTGCTGGGAATGATGGCGGCGGCTCATGCTGTGGTGCGGCTAGGCCTGCTCCACATGAGAAATTTTCAGAGGTGGTTCTCACGCCTCAGGCTTCACCCCTCCCGGGACGGGGGGAGGCTGATCTGGGTTCCCCAAGTGGCAGCATCGAACATCAGGTTCTGGCTCACTCCGGGTCTTCTACGGGACGGAGTGACTCTGGCCGGCGCCGTGTCTAACGTGGAGATGTTCACGGACGCGTCGCTCGAAGGATGGGGCGGGGTCCTCGGCCAGAGTTCTGTAGGAGGCTGCTGGTCGGACTCAGCCCGTCACATCAACCTGCTGGAGATGGAGGCAGTGCACAGGGTACTGCTGCACTTTGCTCCTCAGCTGCAGGGGAGACACGTGATGGTGCGCTCAGACAACACCACAGTGGTCTCCTATCTGAACAGACAGGGGGGCACCAGGTCCCCCGCTCTCCATCGCATGGCAAAGGTGACGCTGCTGTGGGCGGCGCTTCACCTCCTGTCTCTCAGGGCGCGCCACGTCCCGGGGGTCCGGAACGTGGGGGCCGACAGGATGTCCAGGGGGGGGGGCCCACTCCAGGACGAGTGGGGCCTGGCCCCAGGGGTGGCTGCGGAGATCTGGCGGAGGTTCGGCCGTCCAGTGGTCGACCTTTTTTCGCCAGTGCAGGAAACGCACAGTGCCCGTCCTGGTTCGCCTCAAGGGCCGCGGACCAGCCGCCTTTAGACGTGGACGCTCTGGCTCATTACCCCTGGCCAGGGGGCCTGCTGTACGCGTTCCCCACCAGTGCGTCTCCTGCCGGTCCTGCTGCGGAGGATCGAACAGGAGAGCAGGTCGGTGATCCTGGTGGCGCCGGACAGTCCGCATGCCCGGTGGTTCCCCTTCCTGAGGGGCATGGCGGTGATGGAGCCCTGGGCCCTCCCGGACGAGCCGGGGGCTCTAGTCCAGGGGAGGAGGAGCCCTGTTTTCACGCCCGATAATCGGCCGCAGGCTCTGGGTTGGAGGCTGAGAGGCGGAACCTCGTAGACCTGGGTCTTCCCCCTGCGGTGGTGGAGACCACTCAGGGGGCGAGGGCGCCGTCCACTGTGAGGGCCTACGCCACGAGGTGGAGGCTCTTTAGCGACTGGTGCGGTTTTTGTTCCTGGGATCCCAGGCGTTGCCCGCTGGAGGGGGTCCTGGGATTCCTACAGGAGCTCTTTGACAAGGGGAGGGCTGTCGCCACCTTGGCGGTGTTCGCGGCAGCCATTACTTCGGGTCACAACGGATTCGGGGGGTTCACAGCCTGCTCTCATCCGTTGGTTAAACGTTTTCTGCGGGGGGCACGCAGGAGGAGGCCCCCGCTCCAGAGAACGCCCCGGTTTGGGACCTCAGGGTGGTCCTTAGGGGGCTGTCGGGTCCGCCTTTTGAACCGGCGGCGGTGGCGAGTCCCGAGTGTGTCGCTTTAAGACGGCCCTCTTGTTGGCGTTGGCGTCTGCTAAGAGGGCGGGCGACTTGTGTGCGCTCTCTGTCCATGCGTCTTGCCTGTCCTTGGAGAGGGCGACGGCATGGTGGTATTGTGGCCCAATCCGGCTTTTCTCCCCAAGGTCATCACGTCGGCCTTTAGGTCGAGAGTCATCAGGATTAGGGCTTTCTATCCGCCACCGCATGCCTCCCCCGAGGAGGAGCGGCGGCACCTTCTGTGTCCTGTCAGAATGCTGAGGCATTACCTGGCCATGACGTCGTCATTCAGGTTGGGTGGCCAGCTGTTGTGTGTCTGGGCCCCAAGAACAGGGGCGTCCCGCTGTCGGCTCAGCGGCTGGCGCACTGGGTTGCCACGGCTGTGCGGCGGGCGTATCAGACGCAGGGTCTGGCCCTCCCGGTGGGCTTCAGGTCGCATTCCACGCGTGGGATGGCGGCCTCTACGGCCCTTCTCAGGGGGGTGTCGGTCGAGGACGTATGCCGTGCGGCTTCTTGGGCTTCGTCCTCCTCTTTCGTCCGGTCTTATCTTTTGGATGTGTCGGACCGGTCGGTGGCCCATTCCGTGCTGAGTGCAGCGGACTGAGTTAGACCGTTAGGTCCCTCCTCTGAGGGGGCCTTCGGTTTACTTTCCGCCCTGGTTCAGGAGCTCTTGGGAGAGGCATCCTACAGGTGCGGTACATATATGTGTGTTTTGGTCGGTCTGGTAGTCCACGTCAGGAGCCCTTGGGAGAGGCGTCCTGTGACTACGGATGACCTATATCTGTGTTA